TCGCTTTTGAAATACGTTTAATCATGTCGATTGCTTGTGTGTCACGGATGTAAATTCACCTTTCCTGGATGCAATAAATAACATTCGTGAAAAAGGCGGCTGTGTGGCACTGATCGTGACTATTTCCCTGAATGTGCACATATGTCATCTCATTTAGAGAATATATGGCTGTATGACACTGGTCTCGCAAACGTACATACTAAAAAACACTCGTTAATTTCACCGTGTTTAAACTTGTCTGTGGGATCCCAGAGTAATTCAAGAGCATGTAATTGGCATATGAATTCCCACATCCACTGATCATGAAGGTGTTAACGAGGTGTACGTTAAATACAAAGCGTCCACGTTTAGAACCTTTTCTTCGGTTTATGCCTGACATGATGAACTTCCAAACAAGTCAGTGGTAAGATGCAGCACACAACTTCTTTTCGTAAACGAAGTAGTTTTGTCTGAATTGGGTACAGTTTGAATTGGACTATCGTTCCAGACAAACTCAGCCCGATACCTACTACACGGTGTTTCCGCGACATCTCCCAGATTTAATTCGTGTGAAGACACAGCAGATGCAATGTATTTAGGAGAAACTAGTGTGGAAAGGAATTCGTCCATTAGAAATATCAATCCTTGATAGGAATGTGTAGATGAGCAAAACCAACGGGCATTTCTTTGTCTTGAGCATGCATCTATTACTGGACAATTGCAAAACATAAAACTTTCTACACAGGAAACACAGAACCGGTGTCTTACTCCACTGAAGTTGTCGCTATAACCACACCTGGGTAACCGGAATTGAAATGTTCTCATTTCCAATGCACTTCTCAGATGCATTATGTGTTACTTTCAGTCAACTTACTGTAGTGCAAAAATAGTTGCAGTTACGTAGATTCATATGAATGAAAGTAAACTTGTGTCCCTGACACACACAAACACAACTCATATAAAATATCCGGCTTGCATTTTTAAATGGAGAGTAATGTGAAAGATTGGCTGAGGTCGGTGGAATAATTGGGTAGTAGAAGATTTTCAATAAGATTTTCCAGAAATTTAACTAGGTGGGAGATCTGCGACGGATTCCAGTAAATCACTATTCAGTACCATGGAAACGTCGCTGGATGAGGGTCATTTAATTGCGGTAACCTGATATAGTTATGATAGGCATGATTACAGTAGATATATATATATATATCTTACATTGCGAACAATACCATACATACGTATTGACGAAAGTAAGAGCATACTAATTCGGGACAGATGTAACATCAGTTGTTTTCTCAAAGAGAATAGTCGCAATGAACCACGCGGTGGTATTTGGAGAGCCAGAAATGTGATGGAATCAAACGCTGACGTAAGAAAAATGAGCCAAATGAAGGTAGATAACATGTAGGAGCAGGATTGTCGAACTCTACGTCAACAGGATAAATAATGCGGCACATACTATATTATTAGCTACTGCAACTAGCAGTAAAAGAAGAGCGACCACAAATGTCAAGCTTTGTTTCCAGACCATATATTTGTCCTCTGAAACAACAGAGTTTGAGATAATCAGCTGAAAATAACTCAGGCATAGAGTTATCTAGCATGTCAACGAATGTATTTCTTCCTCTGTATCTGCCATTCATCTAACGCCCATCTAAACTCAGTCCTATGTGATCACATATTCGTACTTTTTCAAATAAACGACTGGATGTCGCGTTGAGCTCTCTGATCTTTTGCATGAACTGATTATCTGTATAACTACAGGACAGTTAGATTTGTTGAAACGGCAACTCGCAATGAATCACGAAAATCTGTGAAGCCGCGTAAGCAAATTGATGGCTGTTTGCCAGTATCATTAATGATAATGACAGATTCAGTCGTGTTGCGCGATCACATCTCAACAGAAAGGAAGTGGCCCGTGAGTGTTGAAGCAGGTCCTTCAGTTAAAACATATGGTAGCACGGCTGCTAAAAGCTGGAACTTGTTCCGTTGCACACTACCGTCTGAGCTTCGGTTGAAAGCAGTCATGGATATGCCTCCTAGAGATGATATGTCACACAAAGAACCAAACGCGATGGGATTTATAAAAGAAACATGCACCATTCTAAGGCCAATACTGCATTTACGAGGGCCATGCAGCACACGCGGACACAGATACAAACTTGTCGTGCCGGATATGAAATGTGTTCCCCACCCACTGTGCTTCGAAAGAAGAGTGGTAAACCTTTGGAACAGTTTGCCCGAACATGTGATTGAGGCAACATCTGTGCAGCAGTTCAAAACGTTGTTAGATTTGTATTTTGCCTCTATTCGATTCAGAGAACGACTGCACACTTACGACGACATATCACATTTGTGAATCCTGGAACATCGTAAGTCGAATATTTTACATATTACATGAGGACGACAATGATATTCACGGTTGACAATTTTATAACTTTTTTCGCCATATTTCGAAAGAGTTGTACAGAATCCATTTCTACTTGCTCTATAATAGAGTATTCAGTATTCAGTATTCAGTAGTGTGCGTACTGAGCACATACAACATATTGAGATGATAATTACCAGACACCTCACGCTGTACGTAGAAGTTTAGACAGTAGACTAACCACACAGATGATGAATAAAATGCCGAACCATTCACCAAGTTCAGAATGAAAAAGCGGTTAGTCGCTGGTCACTCAATATTCGGTGAAACTTCACGAATGATTTAAAAACCCCAAAACACATTGCTTAAATCTGAGTAATCTTCATGTATGTACACTAACGCCGACGGGCTCCTCAGTAAACTTACCGAACTTCGGCTACGTCAAGTTGCGAATGCTTAGGGCCTAATTTCTATTACCGAAACTTGGTTGCACGAAGAACTTGCTGATGCTGGGGTTGAGATAGCAAAGATTTCAAGCATCCAGAACGGCCGCCCCAGTGGATGAGGTCAAGTCCTACTCTACCACTGCAGCTTAATGTAATATACAATAGCTGATGATTTGGAAACTCACGCTACTCACTATTGCCGTCTCCGACTAATACACAGCGACGCATGTCTCGCAACTGTCGCTTACCGCCCTCCGACATCTACACCGGAATTAGATTCCCGCTTGATACGTGTCTTGAACAGTGTAGCACGTACTAGGTTCATCCACATTCTCATCTACCACATAGGAAAAGGAAATGAACCGCTCAGCACCGTTATTTCCCGCACCAGGCTCTGTTGGCTGGGCGACGTGTTGCGCATGCCAGCCCACCGACTCCCTCTACGTGCTTTGTTTGCTTATCGGGGATGTGGGTGGAAGAAGAGGAGAGGTGGCTAAGCGATGACTTGGTCCAGAGGAACGAAGTTCCTCACTTCGGAGCTAGCCTCGGTTGGAGCTTCACGGCTCCCTGGTTGGGGTCCAAAAGATGGTGAACACGTTTGTCTGGATACAGTTGCTGACATGGCTAGGAGCCGACCTCAGTGGCGTTTGTGATGTGAGTTTCTTTTCCCTCCCATCCCTTTTAGCCTCCCCTCCACCCACGATCTCATTTCTTAGCGTGAAACATAATGTCTTTTTCTTTTTTTGACTAGTAGCTGGCTGGTAGCTTACCGGAACGATGCCTATCCGTTGCTGGTAGCTCAGCTGGCATGCAACTGTCGTATTTATTTTTCCTTTAGGTATTTTATTTTTGTATGTATTTACTTTATATATTGTGGCACAATGGCGGAGGTGTTTCCCACCTCTAGCTGATGTGTATAATGATGATGATGATGATAATGACGTTAGTGGTAACCTAGCGGAACCCATAATTCCGCTTAGTAGTAAGAATCCAGAATGGAGACAGTTTAAAAAATGTTCTTTGCACGAATGTCGTTACAACCAACTGTCCAGAAAGCCGTTAACTTCATACTTGGTCGAAACCAATCGATTTTCACGTGCCATGTGCTTGGTTGAAAGTTCCAAGCTAACATACAAACACACGCGGTGGAAATCGATGGATTTTCACGTGCTGTATGTGTGGCTGACAACCGTGATCTCTCTTACACCCTCCTCGGTTACAAATAAATTGTTACACATAAGGTCTGTTGGTCGGAATGATACTGAGCCGCTGAATTGGGAGGCGTGTACAAGTGGAATGTTTTCATTCAAGTTCCATTTCTGTGCACACACCAAAGCGTTGCTCCAGTTGTAGTTCCATTAGATTAGGCAAAGCAAATGTAGCTTAAAGTAGATGTTAGGGAATTTCAGTAGTGTCATTTTGCTTGACCTGTTCAGGTGTATAACGATGTTTGATGTGATTTACATGAGGTGTAGTCAATCGGTTTTGATATCCCAATTCATTCAGGACATTTCCTTTTCTTGCTTTGACAATTCATGGAATCTAACTTTTATGTGTATCCCTGTAACTCTATACAAAAACTGGGTCACCGGGATGAAGATATCTCATGCGAGTACCGTGCTTACGATTGAACTGATCTGCCATTTTCTGGTCACATCAATTAGTCTCTTTTGTTGGAAATATGGCATCTAATGGTATGCGGATAAGTCGACCAATAAAAAGTTCCGACCGTGATTGCTGGTCTGGGAGAACAGGATTCGGTTTTGAACGATACATGAGTAAGAATACATTTAAGATTTTAGCAATATCTCTGTCCTTTCAGTTTAAACAAAGCACGATTGAATTTATCCAAAAATCTCGCGGCCTGTCCATTGAACTGGGGATGATAATTGGGCCTATGTATGTTGTACACACATGGATTGACAAAATCGGTTGCACTCATTCGATGTGAATTGTAGACCATTATCAGTGGCAAGTATTTCTGGGAAGCCAAACTGTACGAAATAACGACGAAAACTGCGATGCTTTGAAGCTGTGGTTGGTGGGGTGACACTAACTGTGTCTGGCCATCTTGAGTAAGAATCAACAATAATCAGAAAATATTGATTGTTCAGTAGACCTGCATAATCCACATGAATCTGCATACCGGCAACACTTGATTTCGACCAAGAATGAAAGTGAAATTTGATGGGGGCTTTGGCAGTCTATGCCCATTTGGAATAACTACGAACAACGCCTACAATATCTTTATCAATATTTGGCCAACAAGCATAACATCTGGCAAGTGATTTCATTCGGGTCATTCCCTGGTGACTGGCGTGAAGCATTTGAATCACTATTACTCTGAGATTTTTGAGGATCACAATGCAAATTGCCAGTATTAAACAGTCGTTCACTAGTGTTAAGACATCTTTACGCACAAAATTTGGTCTAATTTCAGCGTCCGATAGAATTTTTGGCCAACCGTTAAGAAGATAAAAAGGACTCCTTTTAAACAGTTATTTGACCGCGTAGCCACACAAATGTCATTGTGTGTAACTGTTTCGTATGGACTCCACAAAGATAGATTTTATTTCAGCATCAACTTCAAGTGATTTAATGACCATGTCTTTATGTGGCTGCGAATTTCGTCTGTTGGCAAACAGGCGTGATAATGCGTCAACAAGGCCAAAGCATTCCCAACGGATGTGTTAAATGGTAAAATCGGAGCTGAGACGTATTGTTGCCCACATTTGTAGGCATTTTGCGGTGTGAACAGGAATTCCTTTCTTAGTACCAAATAGCCAACAGTTGCAGTTAATCAGTGAATAACTTGAATTTCAGATTATTCATCTTATTAGACTTTTTGACTTCAAACACAATTGCTAAACCCTCTTTTTCAATTTGGCTGTAATCCCGTTCAGTTGTTGTTAGCGTGCGTGAAACATGATTGACCGCTTTTTGCCTGCCATCCGGAACGTAGTGCAAGAGTGCTGCTCCAATCCCGTACTCTGAAGCGTCAGCAACAACTATTGTGGTGGATTAAAGGTAGATACTACTGCGCCGGGTATAATTGGTGTGGTGGTGCAAGATGACACACCAACAGCGAGCCCTGCCGACTTCCCCAAAGTTGAAGATAACATCAGGATTACAGCTCCATGCGCACGTGGGGGGAACACAGAGGCAAGCGCCAGTTAGGGAACACTCCATGAAAATCACGCAGATGAGCGGACGCCTCCAAGATATGAACGAACACACCTAGTGTAAGCCACTTTAGCAATAAACAATTACCGCCTACCCCTAGGGTTCTAACACTATGACAGGTAGTTTCGGGTCATTGTAAGTGTAAGATTAGAAGTTAAAATGTGCTTTATTTCATCAAATGCCGACTGAAAAGCTGGGGACCATATCCATTTTGCACTAGTTTTCAAGAGCTCATTTACTGACATCCTTGGCGAGTGAATATTTGGGACAAACGTCTTATAATATTTAACTAGTCCCAAGAACGACTGAAGTGTTTTTCTGTCCTTTGGAGCTTGTAATTGTTGGATTGCCATAATGTTTGGTGGATCAGGACGACGACCACGGGCATCAATATTTAAACCAGGATACGAAAACCGAGACAGGAAGAACTCACATTTGTCGCTTCTCAGCGTAAATCGGAAACTCCTGATCCTGTGAAACACTTCATTTATATGTGCCTGATGTAGCTCAACTGAAGCGCTTACGATTATTATGTCATTAAGGTGAACCATAGCAAAAAATTCAATCCGTTTTTAGCATTGTGTCCATTACATGTTGAAAAATCGCCAGGGCACACTTAAATCCAAATTGAAGTCGGTTATATTGATATAGACCCTTGTGAGTATTAATGGCAAGAAATTATTTTGTTTCCTCATCAACTTCTACTTGTAAATAGGCAACAGAGATGTCAACTTTTGAAAATACTTTACTACCATTTAACTGCGCAAGCAAATCGTCCGGAATTGGCAATGGGTATTGATGAGTCTGAATTGCAACATTTAGCCCAGTTGAAAAGTCACCACAAACACGTATAGTGCCACTCGCCTTCTTAAGTACCACATTGGGAGTAGCCCAGCTTGAATAATTAAACTCAGTTAGCACGCCCAATTTCTCCAAGCGATTCAGTTCTTAATCAACCAATGGGACAGCTGAGTAGGGAACTGGCCTTATAGGATGGATTACTGGCTTTGCTTCAGGTGCGATATACAAAGTAGCACGAACTTTGGTGCACAATGCAAGTTCTGGTTTGAAAACTCTAGCATACTTTTAGTGCAAGTTTGCTAAAATATCCTTTTTCACTTTGTATCAAACGTTGCCACATAACTTGAAGGCCCATTTCGCATGCGCTAAGTTCGGGATTTACAAATTAAGTTCTTTGGAACAACTCAGACTTGTAACTCATCTATCAATCCAATACCCATTAAATTTAGTTCATTTTCTTCTACAAGCTAATATCTTGCACTGTATTTATTGTTTCGAAATGTGAACCATATTTTAACTGTCCCATAAAGGCGATCGACTTGCCAGAAGCTTTCTGAGCAATACGTTTTGTAACACAGTACTCTGATTTGCAAACGCTTTACCAAGTCAAAAATAAAATGCTTGTTATGTCGGAAGCGGTGTCAATTTATATTGTAACTGGTAACTTGTTAATTAATAAAGTAATAAAATTTCGGCTAGGCCTCCCATGAGAACTGTATGTAATGGACACTAGATTTGTTTGCCTTCTGCATCGGGTTGATTGATAACACTTGAATAAACGGACACAGTGTCCCTCCTTGTGACCTAATGTGTCACAACCTTGACATTTAGGGACTAGAAATTCACAAAAGCGTGCAAAGTGCCAGGCGCCACAATTCCAGCATGGTATAGCATGGTTTAGGCAGTCATTGAAACCAACATCTTTGCTTTGGAAATCTGTTCTGTTTCACGTGTGATTTGGTAATTTTATCAATAGAACTCATGTCTGAATAACAGTTGTTTGAGAATAGTTTTTGTGCAGCACACTTTAGATTCATTATTCTGAGATATCCCGTGGTTAAATCGCGCAAGGAAACGTCACAACTAGAGTCCAGTTTTGATAGCCATTTTGTTCCGATATTGGAATCCGCCGGCAATGTTAAGCCAGACACAAAAATCAATGCGTTTACTTGATCGTCTGACCTTCTTTTATGAAAACACCCCACAAATTCCATGTTCAATTTACCTGCATATATCACAATGTCTTCGTCTTCTGCTTTAGTAAACGTTACACAAATATTACGAAGGTTAAATATAGTTGTTTGCTCTCCAAAAATTATGGTAAGCTTATCCACGGTTTCTTGCTAACTATAATCTCTTGGGTATTTTGGTAGAATGTTATAGCAATAACTAGTGTCCCCAGAACATCTAAGTCTTCGCATCAACAGCAGTTCTTTTGTGGGTACATCTAATGCTGAACCGCCGATAACAAAAACGTCTTCATACTTCTTTTATTGCCACTGTCCGGGACATAAATGAATCCCTGAATTCCAATGGCCAGTGCAACTTTAAGCTGAGTATCGCCTCCACTCGCTGGAACCCCTGAATTGTGTGCCGAATAATTTCGTGCGAGAATTTCAAATAATTGCTGCTGCTGACCCAATTGAGGTTGCTGAATTTATAACATTTGCATGATACCATTTTTGATTCAACAATCGCCGTCGTCAGACTGTTATAACTCCGGCTTAGTAGTAAGAAGATAGAAGTGACACAGATTGAAAAGGTTTCTTTGCACAAATGCCGTTACAACCAACTGTCCAGAAAGCCTTTAACTACACAGTTGGTCGAAACCAATCGCTGCTCATGTGCCATGTGGTTGTTTAAAAGTTCCAAGCTAACATACAAACACACGCGGTGGAAATCGATGAATTTTCAAGTGCTGTCTGTGTACCTGACATCCGTGATCTGTATAACAACACACTAATCCGAAAATCTTTGTTTTGTTCAGAAAGCTGAGTCTCATTGAATGTTGAAGCGAAATGTCGTGAGGCGCTACTTCTGTTTCGACCTGCGCAATACATCCCTCAGGTGATCAGTTGTGTTCCTGTTAGGTAATGTGCGTGCGACACAATTCGCTGCGCTCAAGTTTCCCGCCAAATCCTACTTATTCAGGCGATTAGTAAGGCTGGAAGGACATACCAACAGAAAGAAAAGAATAAACGTTCAATTAACTGCAAACGAGTTATACTCAACGCAGTACAAATAAAAGCGCGAATATAAAACGCCAAAATTGGTTATAAATATAAACTGGAACTATGGATTTATTACGGATATAAAATCAAAGTTCAGTTTTCTGTAGGTAAAGACAGATTAGAATTTGAAGTAGTGAAACAAAAAACGTCTACCGGTGGACATACCACAATTTTCGCCCGGATACAGTGATTGGTTACGTTGTCACGTGTCCCAACCACTTGGGTTAAGCCATGTAATGCAGGTGGTGTGTAATGCATCACCAAGTGAAATTTTGAATTCTGGCGACGTAGGAGCAGATATGACAAGGTGAAGAAATAAATACCACAGCTTGGATAAACGAATAGAGGAAAGGTTCTAACGGCATTCCAACCGGAAATTCATTCCTTCTTCTCCTTTTGTAGGGGAGCCTATACAGCGATTAATTATCGTATTGGTACTAATGCATATTGAACAGCAAGCCTGATGGTGAGTGTCAAAGTGAACTAAAAAGATGAAGGCTATGGATATGTTATCCCTCCTACCAGTGTCCTAGTTTTTGCACTAACCAAAGTCTGGCACTGCAGTCACTTAGTACGTTAGTCTAAAATTAACCGCAAAAGTGAGTTGAAGAGATGTAGATTACTTCTGTAGTATCCGAGTTTCCAACGAGCTAATGTTTATTCTAGTCAGTGGTACTTGTAGGGGACAAACACGACAAAAATAAAGAAATCATGTAACTGATGCGCAGGACAAGCACTAGTGCCCTATTCATCTCTCGAACTCTGTTCTGGTTGGGCTCAGCATTTAGAATATTTCCCATATTCCAGTCGGCCCATTCCAGTAGGCTTTCTCTTCTGGGCACTTTAGTATGAATAGCTCGAGTATTTTAGTTAAATTGGGGAAGTTGTTGAATTGATTACGGAACACATTCGGAAAACCGCAGGATCTTAAAAGTATGCTTGGTCCCTATGTTTTCAACTTCTATAAGAATGAAGTTTGAGAAAGGTTAATACTTGTAGGTGTCGGATTTCGTAACTAGATGTGTGTGTAATAACTGGGCACATGGACTGGTCGACCTATCACAATGCAAATGTTTGACACGGTAACTTCCAGCCTTCTGAGGCAAATCGGGTCATGTCTTAGCGTTTTGCAGAGATCCGGATAGGGACGACGTGCAGCGGAATCCAGAATCGATCTATTGTAGGTAATCGGAACGCTCACTAGCGCCACTGCAT